GTATTTATGGTAATAATCTAGTTGTCGGCCTTGATGGCACAGTCTTAGTCATCCTATTTCATTTCACAGTGCTGTATCAACTCTTACAGGCTATGGCTCTGATACTCTCATGACCTTGTTATGTTTTGATCATTGTAATTTGCTTCTCTCTGGTCTTCCATACAAATCTATCCATAAACTTTAACTGGTTTAGAATTCAGTTACACGTCACCAGAGCTGCACCTACTGAATACAACAGCTCAACAGACTCCATGTCTGGTATCACACTGGCATTAAAATTCTCCTCCTTGCTTGCAAAAGCTTCTAAAATCTTGCTCCTCCATTTCCCTCTGGAATGCTCCAGTCTCACTCCATCTCAGATTATCCGATCTTTCACTTCTTCTTCCCAGAAATMTTTTCTGCCAACTTGTTCACAGTAGGCTTGAGTGCCTTCAGTTGTGCTGTCCCATCAATGCTGGAATTCCTTTTCTCTATCCAGCTGCAACACAAAGTTTGTTCCCACATTTAAAGCCTCTCTCAAGATTCATCTGTTTAGACTGGCTAATCCTATGTCATTTTCACTAACAGTCAGTTACTACATACCGGGTAACTTAGCATGCCTTTCTGTGACTTTGTGCTCAACTGTTTGTACTGTTAGCAAAATAGATCAAGAATCAGAGGTTATACTTAAATAAAGCTCTCAGAAAGTAACCATTAGATTTTGGACTTGATTCTATTTAAGATGATTGTTACAGCTAATTTAGGAAATGCAAAAATATCTCTACTTTGGTCAATTTTATAAATATATAGCTAAATTTAGGTGTTGTAGTAGCTGAGAATCTTAGCTAATACATACTGTCAATTCTAACAGAATGAGTAATGAGTGAAATCTATTTTAAAAACTTAGCCATTAAYTAATGTAGCAAACTCTGTAGGCAAAACATGTCATAAACCACTGAATGAATTTTAAAGAAACCTTCCATGCCATTAGACAACTAACTGAGCTCTACAACTGATTAAAATTGGTGAAAAGCTGTCATGGAAACCTCATATAAATCACTTAAGAATAAAAATATCCAAATCTATAGCAGTACTGTATAATGTAAGGGACTTATTTAATGACAAAGCTTTGTTTATATTATATAATGCAATAATTGTTCCACATTTGATCTATTGTATTGAAGTCTGGGGAAAAGCATGCAAAACAAWTACAAATCCCATCTTTATTTTACAGAAAAGAGCTATAAGAATTATTACCGGAAAACATTACAGTCATCCTACACGTCTCATTCATCAGGCTGAGAGCTCAGTTAAACACTACACACACTGTGATATCGGGCCAAAAAAATCTAACGTGTTGAATWTCCCCGATTTGAGGTCGGAGT